AACAAAAAATGCCAAATAGATTTTTGCAATCAATCTAATCATCAGATATCAACAATGCAAAAATCCAGATCTCAATATACCAATCTTGCAGATCATTAACAAATTAAAGTAATCAAGTATATTGATTTCTTTAAACATGCTCTCAAGCAGAATTTATACAGATTTAAAAAAGCAACATATTATGAATCAAATACATGTTATCAAACATAGATTAAACTGTAAAATCTGGTACCGTAGGCTCTGATACCACTGTTAGGAAACGATCTAACCCATGACAGCAAAAAACAAAAACGAAAATAATGATCGATTCCTTTTTAAGCCAAGATCAGGGTACATATATTACAGATAATATGTTAAATGAAAAATCTGCAATAATATGAACGATCAGAGTAAAGATTAGAGTTCATACGCACGTTTAGAGACTCCTTCAAACTTGTCTCTGACTAGGTTCACTACCGATTCAAAATAGAATCGAACCAATGGTAATCCACACGAAGATAACCCAAAGAGCTAAAGAGGGATTTCCTAGATCCTCTTTAGCTTCAAGAACCAAAACAAAATCAAAGAGATTTTGATTCAATGACCAAGGGTGGTGTGAGATGTAGAGAGAAAGGAGATTGTTTTTCTTTTAATGAAAATGAATTTTCTGTATGTTTAAAATCACAAAACACATGCACTTATATAGTGCATGTGAACCCTATTCCAATGAGGAATAGGCTTAGGCTCCAACCCACACAGCCCCTATGTCCAAACACTCCCAATCATGATATTTTATTTTAATTATTATTATTCTAATTAAACTCAATTAATATATTTATAAATATATTAACATTTAATAATAATAATAATTCATTTAAATATATGCGTACATATATTTAGATATAATCTCACTTATTTAATTTTAACATCAAATTAAATATAGGCAACAATCTCAGCAAATTTAATTGCACTGTGAGATTACCAAAATGCTCTTTCACCCTAAAAGACGATAACGCCCCTTGCACAAACTGATTCTTAAATTATCTTCTATGTATGTGACCCGTAGGCTCCTCATCATACCGACAGTGTTTAGTATCGCGATTAACACCAATTAATTGTCTCACTACATACAGACTAAGATTGACCCTTAGCAAGGCATCATGGCCACCCGATAAATTCGAATTTAGCGAAGCAGCTACCTGTGAACAATATGATTACTGTGCAATCAAATCATTTCATCATCTGTTATCTCATCGAGACCGAGGTACATAAATAGTGTCAACCTCAATTACTCTCGATATGTTTGTATTCAGTTACTAGACCAATGACCAAAATAATAAATTAGATTGAGCAACAACTCAATCCCACTGTGGTCACAGTTTTAGTGTCATTGTCATTACTGAATTGCGTCGTGAGATAACTCCTCTCGTACCCAAGAGTGATGAATCCTCTGTCTTCCACCATAGTCTTGATACACTCCTCGATGCAGCCAATCACTACCGTATTGACAGCTCTGAATAGAACTGTGTTGGACTAGTGTCAAACTACACCAATCAGTGCACAAGGCGCTCCGGTGATCTCAAGTCTAAGGATCACATGCACCACCATTCGTTAGAGGATTTATTCCATGGACACTGGGGCTACCATCTATATAGAATCCTCTGGTGGGTCAGTCTAGCGAAGTTGCCTACAATAAACACCCATGTGTTGTACCAGGTTGTCAGCAAACAACCTTGACAAGTTAGATTAGTCACTGCCTTTCGAGAGGGTCGTTTAACACTATGATAATCTTACCATATTATCTGTGCCCTTGGTCAGAATAATACTGGGGCTACGGACGTTTCTAGAATGGCCACCATATGTGCTCATAGGGTTCTCACTATCAAGATTTTAAGCACTTGATATTCTCGTCATGGTTCTACAATTTTAAAGACATATATCAATACATATAGATATAATTTACACGATATAAAATAAATTGTCTTTTATTAATCAATCAACATTATTACAAAGAATCAATTCTACAATAATTGGTTGGCTCTAGGGCACCTACTCTAACAGGCGTACTAGAAGAAAATTGAAAAAAGGTTATACAAATGGATATTGATGTAATTATAATAGTATATAAAGATGATGTTGTCAACACAATTAAGATTAATCATTTAGATAACAATTCATTGAGTGAAAAGAAAAAAAAATATAGCCTTTTCAATTCACTAAATTTTAGGAAAAAATGAGTATTAAGTTAAAAATGATAACTCATGCAGTGATTTCTTGGATGTTCTTTTCCTTTTCCAGTTTCTCCAATTTTATTTTGGACTAAATCGGCCGATATCTAAGGAAGTGAAAACAGGCGAGCTGGGCTACTGTCCTGCTCTTGAGAAATCTTCATTCTACAAGAGGGAAGAAGAGAATGAAAGGAAAATGTAGCTTCATTGAAAGAATGAAAGTCGAAACAGCACCACCGTATCAAGAGATTAATAAAGTCGTTGTTTTGGTAACAAGAATTAATTACACCTTCACATCATGTGCAGAAAGTAGCACAATTAATTGATATTTGATCCTATATATGCCTTCAAGTCAATTAAATTTTGTTATTAATTTCCTTTCTTTTTTAAGACGAGAAGTAGCTAGGTCAAGTAATACACAAAAACGTAGTAGACTCATTTTGGCCGTAATATTTATATATAAACTGTCTTGAATGCTAATATATATATCACGGAAATTCCTAATAGTAGCAAGACAACCTTTCCATTCACTGGCAATTCATGTAATTTTGCATATAATATTTCTCAATTAATGACGACTAGTTCATTCTGAAGATTGATCACTTACAGAAATCTCAAAAGAAGTAACTAGATCCATCTAGATAGCTAGAACCTTTTTGCTAACGATCGAGCGTCATATCACAAAAACATATCCTTCTATTTAAAATTCAAAGGCTCTATATATAGACTACAGTCTCATCGTTCCATCAGTTATTTATCACCACTATATTAGTGAAATACCTGCATAATAATTCTAATATATAGCAAATACCTTTTCCATCATCTTCTTTTACTACAGAAGCCACCAACATAAAAGCCGATTCAAGGTTATTTAAGCTTTAGGTGAAGCATACATGAACAGAGCTACAGAGAAGGCCTTTTTACTTGAAGAAACTGAGATGAAGTAAACATATTGGAAGCAAATTAATAAGCAGGATATTGCCAGCTGCTTCGGATCAAATGAAGGGCCCCTTTATACGTTGAAAAAGGTTATAACAAATTTATCATAAGAAATTATCAATGCATGTAGTTATGTATAGATATAAGTGGATCTGTGGATGCCGATTAGTCCCCTCTATTTCGTTGTATTGTCTGTAGAAGAAAAGAAGCCAACTTCCACTGGTAAGAGTTCAACTTCTCTTCGTTACCCTTCAATTTTCATTTAGTCGACGACTGAAACTGTTGCATTTTGTCGACAAAAGCCGGTGGCCTGCATATATATATGTATGCATACTCTTAAATCTAAGCTTTGAACCTATACTACATCATGATCATGCATATGTCACTCCCGTCGGCTGGTCAAGCACATAATTTTGATGTATGAAGCATTTCAATTCAAAAAGAACATATTATATATATATATATATATATATATATACAAATTCAGTTTTTTTCTGAATATCATACCTTGAGTTGTGCAAGAGAGAAGCATATATACTATAGCCCTTGAGATTATATATTTAAGCTGAATCAGTTAAAGGGCAACTCTCCTTTGGCGGGTCATAAAAAACCCAATATGATGTCATCATTCATCAATGACCTTCACCTGCCAAAGGAGAGAAGCCCTACAACTAAGTCGCTTAATTATCGGTTTCTCCTCATCACTCATCTCATTGAAGGATGCGTCAACTAGCTTTGATATTTATAGGCTGTTCTGAAGGGCACTAGATGTGGAATAAACTGTTGAAGAAATAGCATATGCCATTGATATATATAATATCCTTTAAATTTGGTGCATGCTTTCCACGCATTCTGTGAAAGTCGATCTCTTTTTATCTGAAAAGCTTCTTACAAATGTTTGAGATTCTTGTTAGCATGATTTAGACTGTGATGTCTCCGTATCCATGTATGCTTAAAGCTTGAATGGAAGTTGTGAAGGGAAGAGATCGAAGAGAGAAAAAGGAGTCAAGAGGAGATGCCTAGCTACTTTGTCTTTTTGGCACCAAAATCTGGGCCTCGAGGTATATCCTATGACATATTCTTTCCTCATTAATTCTGATTTGCTTTATATATATATATATATATTGCCTCTTGGGTTTATGAAAATCCGAATGACCCTTACGATGTTTAAGATCATTTCATCATCATCCAATCAGAATAACTCCCAAGGCCTGATAAATGATCTGTAATTGCCTTTGTCTTCCATGTGTCTCCCGTTATTTGTATGCGAAACACCGCGGTCCCTCTCTTGCCTTTAAATTATTTACTTTTATACACAAGTGGTATGTTTAATTAGATTGTCTTTGTAATACCAAAATTGGGTATTTCTTTTTTAATTTTGCGTTTTATACGAATGTAAACTTTAAATTTCTTTAGCTTTGAGAAGATAAGTAGTCGTTAATTAACTCTCTCATTATTTCGTTAACCCAATTCGTTTTGCTCAATCGGGTTTTAATTCTAGTAGAAAATCTGAGATGACGTACTGAAAGTTGAGTTGACAAGTTCAAGAACAAAAGACGTGAACAACAAATTTCATCATCTCTCTGAAAACTATACATAATTAATTATAATTCTAGAATAACACAGCAGGACATAATACAAAAGCGTATATATTTATAAACCAGCTAATTAAAAATTAACCACAAACAAATGATAGTTTATGTACGCGATTACATTTCTGCAGTCTCATTGTTCAAAATAAGTATTTATCAAGCAACAACAACAATATAGAACAAGAAGCAAATTCTAAACAAACATTTCATATATTAGTTTTGGGCTAAGGGAGCCAACTGAACAAAAGCCATCTTTTTTTTTTTTAATTTTATTTAATTCGAATAGAAAAACAAACATCAAACGATGCGTGTCAATCACTTTGCCAATCTTTCACTCAAAATCTTCACTCCCATGTACCTGCAACATAAAAAATAAACCCCATCAATCAAATATTCTAAGGATGCAACTAAAAATAAGACTAAACTAGCTAGAAGTATATTTACCTTCCAAGCATCATGACAGTGGCTTGTGGATTAGTCCCAGGAGAATAATTAAACGTGGATCCATCAATAACCCTTAATGCATCCACACCAAGAACCTTGTAATCCTGATCGACAACCTGACCAACTTGACACCCTCCATGATAATGCCATATGGTCATCACTGTATCTTTGCAATACTGCTCTAATGATGTCGATGCATTGCTATGTTTCGGTAACAAATTTATTGGGCCACTTGCTGTCATGTTCAGTAGTGTTGGTAACGACATAAAATTATATCTGAACTTGGAAAAAGCTTTTGAATCAATTATTTTCTCTATGGTTTGAATGCCTTGGACACATCTGCTTAAGTCTTGGGGTTCTTTGAAGTAATTGAAGGTGACTGACGGGTTCTCGTTTGGATTGCGGTTTCTGAGCTCCAAATGGCCTGTGGAGACTGGCCCCATAACCTTTTCAAGAATGAATCCACCTCTAAAGGCTGTGTCGTCCAGTTGGTTCATGTACTCAACAGCTTTGTCTATGGCTTCTTGGGTCCTGTGCTTGGGAGGCACTGTAGAGAGCTGCCCAATCTGCATATATGAACAAAAAAAAATTAGAATTAGGATCCTCTCCTGATATTTTGATACATATTATGTAGAGAAAGACAAAAATACACAATCTATAATATACCAAAATGCTAATTTTTTTTGTCCTGAATATGTGCATTAAGGGCATACATTAGGACCACCCTATTATAAATTAGACCGCAAAAGGGATTCACCATACCTTAGGAGAAAACATGCCATAGTCTCTAGGTGGACTTGAGCCACCAGCAAAGTTTTCGCCGCTTGCAGCTTCAATGTAGCTTCCAAAATGGGTGATGCCGACGACCTGAATAAGGGAAACCTCTACCGGAAGAGGGGAGGGCACAAAAATTGCATTCATGGGGTTATCGGACATTCCTTGACCAACCAATGGTTGGTCCAACACTACTGTGATATTGTGAGCCTTGAGGTGTTCTGCAGGACCCACTCCACTTAACATCAGAAGTTGTGGGCTTCCAAGCGCGCCAGATGATATTATAATCTCATTCTTGGGGCCATTCTTCAGATATGCTCTACGCTTTGCTCCTTTTGCATCTCTGAAAATCACTCCATGAGCCAACGGCCTAATTTTGCCTGTTTAATTACAAACTTATAGTTAATAACTAGAGCAAATTTTATGTGCGTCAATACTAAACCAAGAAATATATGGATACCTTTATGTCTAAACAATATCTTATGGACAGAGGCATGCAAGAGAACAGTGAGGCCAGTAGGATTAGCATACTCCAACAAATCAGCAGCAGTATGTCTCTGACCCTTTTGATCAAAAATAGTTCCACCAATCTTTGTCCCATACAGATGGTCATATGTGAAGCCATTGTTCGGCAACACACCCGCCTCTAGCAGCCCATCTCTCACTGCAGACTGCCACTGCCGCATTGGTGGCTCAAATGTCACCACCTCCTCTACCCACTCGTACGATTCGTTCACTAACCGTCCGTTCCACCCCACATCTCTATTTTATATATAACCATAAAATCTTTAGTTTCATATCAAACATTGTTTACATATACATTACAAGTAATCTTGTAATTTACCTGACATAATCTGGAGGGGCGCGAGTGTAGAAGCCGGCGTTGAGGCAAGAGCCTCCACCCAAAACGCGTGCGCGGGCATTAATGACGCCATCTTCAGAAATGAAACGCTGGGATGGAGAAGTGGGAGAGAGATCAGAGAGAGCAGCACCAAAAGAAGATAAGCTCGTGATGTTAGGGTTGCCATAAGGTGAGCCACCACGTTCAAGTAACAAAACGGATGAGTTTTGAGAAAGAGTGGCAGCTAAAGGACAGCCAGCTGTACCACCACCAACAATTATGTAATCGTAGTAGGATACCGATGGAGCTGAGGTTGCGTTCTGCATAAAGGAGTAGTTTGGAGCTGTACACAATAACTAATTAATACTACTATATAGATTTGTTACCCAAACTCATTCTTAATTAAGATGTATTGTATAGCATTATCTTTTTTATTTTTTTTTCAACAATAAATTATAAATTATAACTAATAATAACGACAACACTCAAAAAATGAGGTTCTTTTAAAATCTTCAAACCCACAAAAATCTATGTATCCTCGATCATATAATTTTTAGCAATGAAAGCGTATATTATTTTTAGAAAAATATAATATTAATTAAGAGAGGATACTTAAAGTTATTAATTAATTTTATGAAGATATTATTATTTGTTTATACTCAACTACTTTATATGCCGACAAAGAAACAAGCTCTCTTTCTTCTCAACCTTTGTACTCTCCACAAAATTTATACATTTTATAGGATGAGCTCAATATCATATAAAAATATATTAAATTAAATTAAAAGCATTGTAGTTAGCAACTACATTTTCGGTGAAAAAAATGCAGATTATAAACTAGTAATTGGTATGATATGACCGATGCAAAATGCATATCTTGAGCTATAGTGAATCTTTGTACATATGCATTTAAGTCAGTCACATCACCATAAATGAGTCACGCGGTGTGGTTAAAAATGTTTTTCACTTTATTTTCTTCTTTTTCAAATTAAAAAAAAAATAAAAAAATTGGTATTTTCTAATTTCATTGAAGTTGATGATGAAGTCTTCCTTTAGCAAATTTTGATGAACACTCTTGGAGAAAGTATTTGCATTTATAAGACAATTAATAAAGGAAATGATATTGCTACACTTAAATGAAGGAAATGATCAAACTTTGAGTAGAAAGCTTCTGATCACTGTGCAGAAAACTTTCCCACTTTTCACGTCTAATGACACCATAGACTTGACCAAAAACAGGCCAATCTTCTATTATTTGTTAACAAATAATCCCTCAGTATATGGTAAATTAATGAAATTATATATATATATATATATAGTGCTCTAATTCTATGCCAGAAAGAAACTCTACAATTGATCAATGAAAGGTAGTAATGATAGAAAGATTAATAAAGAAAAGAAAAGAGGATATATAAAAGAAGATGAAGAAGAAGAAGAAGAAGAAGATGAGAGTACCTGTTTCAGAGGCACAAAAGTCATGAAAGAAGAGAATTGCAGCAAGAAAAATACTCCACCACCAAACACCCATGACCTCAAACAAGATCAAGATATTTAAGAAACGCTTTGACAATCGCTTTTATGAGATAGATTATAGTTCTAACTCTAAACAAGTTCTCTTTCTCATATAATTTAGAATGCAACAATCTTTGGTGATGCCTACAACTTCTGCATGCACAAAGATTAAAAATTACAAAAACCCACAAAGATTCAATGAAATGCAGAAACTGTGAAAGCCACAACGAACTGTCAGCGCATTTATAAAAGGCTCATAAAAACAATAATGAGGTAGCACAGATAAAAGAGAGGTAGGAGATGAACTTTCGCTACTTATAATTACTTACTAATTAGCTGATCATATAAAAGTTCTTGGGTGACTTTACAATTAAAATATGGGAAAGAGAGAAAAGCAGTTAGTTAGGTGTAGTTAAGGCCACCTAATAACTACGACTGGTCTGCACTTTACATTGCCGATGCTTAATTATACGCCGAATTTTATTAAATGCCATATTTCTGATATATGGCCATTGTGTATGGTCTTTAAAACACACCAATTATCACTCTTAACTTAGATTTAATCAAGAAGGTTTCGTTAAATCATATCATCTTTACCCTAATTCCATACAAATTAATTTAGAGATACGTATACTATAAAGGTGATAATAATATCACTAGCGAAAGAGAGATAGAGCTGATTTGGAAGCTAATTAATACTACCTTTAATACTTGAAGCAGCAGTTATGTAAGTGATAAAGGTCCAAGGTTAAAATCGGGAATTGAAGAAGATATAAATGAAATCTAACAAACTCTTTGAAAGTAGTTCAGCTTAGCTTAATGCAGAGTGGGAGTCCAATAGTTCATTATTGAGTTAGATGAAGTCTGTAAAATTAAAGGACAAAAATAAAAACCTCTAGAAACATGAAGCATAGGCATTCATTGCAGCAACTAATATATGCGGTGTAGAAGGTTTTGCAGAGTTATGTCCACAGCTGGCATTTGGGGACACTCCTTAATTAAATTTCACGCATTCAAATAATTCATCGGTAAATCATAAATGGATTTACATCTGAACTGGTCTGGCGGCTATTTATGTCAAAGAATTTCTGTATATTTTCTCCCTCGATTTTATTAAACAAAGAGTCTAATATTAACATTGTATTTCTCGCACTGTTGCAACAAAACACCAACAATTTGTGAGTCTAATGCAAAAAAAATTAAATGCTTCACCGAAGATGGTTGCTGCCTGCTACTGCTACACAACAAATAGTCATGAAATCGTAGGGCCTGTTTGTTCAGGGATGTGCAAAAATAACCCGTCCTCAAAACTTCAACTTGAACCATAGGATTTTCAAGAAAGGCCGATAACACATGTATCCTCTGAAGTTTAGCCTACATACAAACTGATACCCTCATTTTGAAAAACCATCAAACATTCCACCCTTCTTTCAAATTTCAACGGTAAATTTAACCGTTAATGGGCATTTATGTCCTTCCACTTGATGCATAAAACCCTAAAAAAGATTTAACATATATAACATTAAACGTAACAATTCAACGTTAATACTCTTAAACCTCACAAATCAAAAGGTAAAAAATAAAATAAAAAATGACAAACCGACTAGGCCGACCATGTCATGGCTAGATCGTGGCCTAAGCAGCACTACCCAAGCCGCAATCAGTAGGATGGCAACTATAATCTCTGTTTTCGTTTTTGTTTGCCGGCCACAGTGGGGTGGTTTAGTGATTGGATTTTATGTTTCTTTTAAGGTTTTCTTGGGTTGTAGACATTATTTTTGGATTTTGATTATTTGAAGTTTTGTTTTAGATTTGTTTGGAGATGCCTAATCAGTGAGATTTATTATATATGTATTAGGTTTGTCTGGAGATGCTTGATTATGTGAAGTTTCGATTTTGATATGTTCAGAGATGATTAAGGATGCCAAGTTTTCATTTGTGTACTTTGTTAAAATGAGGGAGACGAAGAGGGTTTTGGTGAGAGAAATTTGAGATGTAGATAGTTATTTCCTTAATTTTATTAATTTGGAGTTTAATTTATTTATTATTACATAAAGAATTTTAAGTATTTAAAAGGTCAAAGATGGTCAAAGCGGAATTTACGTAGATGTAGACTAACGAAGGTGGAATATCAAAGCGAGGTTGGTAGTTTGTATTAGGCTAAACTAATTATATACTCACCCAAAGTTTATATATATATATACTAAAACATCTTTATAGTAATATTCTATATAAGAATAAATTTTATATAATTATAAAAAAATTTAGTCCTAATTTAGGATAGTTATAAATAATAATAAACTCTACATTGTAATAAATTATAATTTTTCGAATTTCCGTCTTAAGAAAAGTTTCCTCCATATAGTAATAATTATCTGAATATTGCAAAAAAAATATATGTTATATTATATTAAAAGTTTCAAATGAAATAAAATATTTATCTAAAGTTGTTTGGAACAATGATTTATGTTTAGAGATGTTTGGGACATCTTTTAACTTGCGGGTACGTAATAACTAACTAACATGGACACCTTCTTATTGAAGCCAAAATATTTCTAGTTTCTCAAATATGTTTGGAGCTTCTTGGCATGAAACTTTTGTATTTTCATACTATCATTCTCATGATTATTTTCTTTCTTTTTTTGCCTAACTATAGCAATGATTTCTTCTTTAGTTAAAGCATACATGACATGTTGCTTATTTGAATGATTGAGGAAGACATTAATATCTATTTGATTAATATAGTAAAGTTGTCTAATCTGATCACTCAATTATATAATGACTCTTTGATTCTCTTCATCCATTTCATTTATAACTTACAGTTCAACGACATCGGGGATCCTAATTTTGCAGTGCTTAAAACAATTGGTAATTGTGTGTGGCTTCACATCAATCGATCATATAACAAGTGCATTTATAATTTCATCAATGACATTTATCTTTGTTAGTTCTAAGACACAATCTTCTATCTGTTTCAAAAATAGGCAATTGAAGCACTAGTTGAATTGAAATTCTAATACTACTAAAATATAAATTGAAATCCTAATACTATACTACTAAAACATGAATTATAAAATAGGAAATCAAAATAATAATTTTTATATCTACACATTTATTAAGTTATAATCTCCTCATAATAATAAAATTAGTTAATCCCGTCATTATTTTATTTATGTATCACTTGTTTTAGTTTCTAAAACAATTATACTTTTTGAATTTTAGAGTTAAAATTAATTACCATATTGAAATATATAATTTTATGTGTTAAACAGGTTAACGTGTACGGAAACAACTTGGATTAAGAGTGTGTTTAGGGTTGTTGTAACTTAAAAATTAACCACTTAATTGTTAAGCTACAATATAAAAGTGTTTGGTAAATAAATTTTGAAATTAATTAACTTTGAAGTTGATAATGATATAATCAGGTATATAAAAAATTTAAAAAGCTACCAGTGTAGAATATTCGCCTTTTCTAAGACCCTAACACTTATACCAGTAAATTTGTTTTCCTACCATTTTCTTGTATATTTCCAACAAGATTTTTTGGTAGTTTATAATTATTTTCCTACAACAATAGCACATTTCGAGCTTGGAAAATACTATTTTTTTTTTCCAACAACTTATATATCTTTCAAATCCAACAGCGTCCGACGAAGAATTGCATCACACTCATTTCTGAAGGCAAAATACCTTAAGAAATAGACAATTTTCGTGACATCGTCTACGTAACAAAATATGTGACATGAGGCATCGTCGTTTCCGCTATACAGTGGTAAACGAGAAACGGGAAATGCACCACAAGTTTACACATCCAAATGTCTACGTGTCAAAAAAGGGTTGCTGCTAAACTTGAAAATAAGACACAATCTAGACGTAGTGCATATTGAGATGAACATACGTAATTAACGATGTCAATTTTCTAGACCTAGCTCAGATATTCATGCGAGTAATACTACACATATATTATTTTTATACAATATTTTTTATACAACATTATGTGACAAGATATGATTGGTTAATTTAAAGTTAAAATTAAACTTTCATCCAATCACATCTTGCCATATAATGTTGTATGGGAATGATGTATGTGTAGTATTATTCTATTCAAGCATTGGACTTGACCCGTGTGTACAGTCGAGAATACCCAGGTCTAGGTCTCGGGTAACAATTCCAGACTCTTGCAATTATTTAAAAAACAAAACAAATAGGTTCAAATTGACAACTTGTAATTAACCTGCTTTAAATGTTTCATTTGAATTTTTAAGTTTGTTGAACTATTTTCAAACATGTAAAAAATCTTACACCTGAACTTTGATAATTAATTGTTGTGCGGGATAAACATCCAACTCAAGCTCAGAGAAATCATAGGGGTTCCAATTCGGGTACCTCGTTGAACAAGTCGAAGAAAACACATCGCTTAATACAGGTGTCAGCTTGCAACAAAAGAACCAATGTCAACAAATTTCAACGATTGATGCGGCACCTAGTTGGCCTACTTAGCTGCATGGTCACTACGTGCAGTACATGCAGCATCTTCTCCTAACCAAACGACTAATCACTGACAAACTCAAGTTAATTACGGCTATGACCGTGAATAAGCGTAATAATGACCTAACGCCCTCAATCGTCCAAAATCTATCAGACTAGACAACAATCATTTCGCTAATGCAACTCCCACTAACGACCGCCGTTAGAGGTGGAAAAATCCGGTTAACCAGACCGGTTCACCATAATCTTGAACCGAATCGGATCCTAGTTCAGGTGGAAAATTGAACTAAAACCAGACCAGTTTTCCACTTGAACAGGTTATTAACTGAACTGTTTTTCTGGTTCGATTAACCGGTTTTTTTTTCAAATGGGCTTGGACCACTTTGGCCCAATTCCATCCATCCCTCTACTTTGGCCCAACATTTTTCAAAAATTTTAACTTGAATTAAATTCATATTCTTTTGCAATTAAATTCATATTTTTTAATGTAAATAAAGTACTAAAAATTTAGGATTTTTTTTTTAACCTGTTTATTTTTTTGGCTAAACCGAAACCAAACCAAAAATCTGGTTTACCCAAACCGAAACCGAATCAATTTTCAAAAAAAAAAAAAAAAAAAAAAAAGATTTTAGGTTCAGTTCGGTTTTCGGACTTTTTATTCCACCCCTAACTGCCATCACAGATCCTATAAATACCCAGTCGAAACCCTTAAAAATGAGGGGAGAAGACAAAAATATAGAGGAGAAAGAAGAAAGAGAAAGTACTATATCTTTATTTTTAACTCTTTGTAATCACTCATATCGAAAATACAACTAGTGGATGTAGGATTGATTTCTTGCTTAGCAGAACCAGTTTTAAAAAGCTCACCTTTTTATTGTTATTATTAGCTAACATTGCCATCGACTCCAAGTCTCCAACCTCATCCTAATCACTCGCATCCACCCTCGTTGATTCCCCAGAATGACGCACTCACCTGGCTCAGTTCCTTTCTAGGTCAATCGAGTACCTTTGGTTGACGGGTGTTCACGGCTTGACATTCTAGTTGATATGGAATTTTGCATCAACATTAATATTAAACATAAATAATAGCCAATTATTAACAACCCAAAATAATTGTAAAACATAATCAATTATTCATAAGTTCATATCCATAAAGCTAATTATAAGTTGTAATGTTTAAGGAGTCCTAATAGCCGCAAAAACAACTAAGTAACACATTTTAAGATGACGATATTGTTGTTTTTGGGTTATCATCTTCTTTAAATTCTTGACCAACAATGGTCTTATCTTTTGGAAGTCTACCTAAAAAACTAAAATATAGATTTGTAACTAAAAGGGTATTGTAAAGTTAACATAATAATAATAAGATTAAAGTAATAATAGAACAGATTTCATTACCTCTCAAACTCTGAGCACACATTAAAGTCTGTGGAACAAGTTTACTCCGGTGTGGCCCTAAAAATCGAACAACGATGCTGAAAGCCAAATGTAGACGCTAAGCCTAAGATATCTCTAGCAAAACGTTCTTTTTCAATCCCTCCACTAATTCAAAATATCAAAGTATTCCTCTTTCACCAATTTTTTTAATAGATTCGGCCACGTAAACAACCAACTCAGATTCTGAATAATTTCATGCAGAAATCTATGAAAGACCCATCAATATTCTTCTTTTTCTGAGTAAAAAATGAAGGATTGTCCCTTGAATCATCACATATGGCTTATGTCTTATATTCATTCATCACACAATCCACATAGTCACCTTATTATCATGAATATGGATCTCAACTGGTACAAGTGTAACTGTGAAGGTCAACTTTCTTCTTTTCGAATAAGTCAGCATATCCTAGTTTGTGTTTATGTACATCTTCGAACCATCATCCTAAGGTAGACGAAATTGAAGCTAATAATTATCCTCTGTTTATTGCCACCTTACGTGGAAGTATATAGAGGGCTTTTTGGTAAAATATAAAATCATGAATGTGTTTAACGCAGACTGCAAACTAACTTATCTTTGCACAGAATCAAATTTAGATTTTATTTAAATCCATTTAAAGAGAATCAATGAACTACTTCTTACAAAATATACAACAATGAATAGCTACCCAAATTATGTAATAGGAGAAGGTGGAGTGGTTGTGTTGAGAGTTGAGACAAACCAACCACATCTTCTCCCATCAATATAGAGAGTTGTAGGTAACGAAGGTAGCCATAATGGAAGATATGCAAATAAGGAGTGAAGGAATTAGAGTGATATTTAAGAGACTGCTCTCCCCCAAGTACCCTGCTAGCGTTATTGTCGCATCTGCAATCACTCTCGCAATCGTCCCAGCTTCTGTTGAAAGTAAACCACCATTGTAGGTTCCACGAGAAAGCCTGGAAGACATCACCCGAGAGAGAAGTGCCAAGTTCACGCCTGTACCAAAATCGACAGATAAATTAGGATCAAAGAGTATCAACCGACAGATTCATCAGGATGAAGAAACAATGAGACCTAAAGACAAAATCTATTTTTATTATACGGCAAATTGGTACTTCATTAACAATTATGTCGTTCATTTGTTATCATGTTGTAAATTACATTTTTGTTGTTTCTTTTCCTCATTCAGCTAGTTGATAAAAGGCAATTAGCCATGCTGCTTAAAAAATAAAACTGAAGCACACATAACATGGTCAGAAATGAGAATTAACGTATGTAAATGATCCATTTAACACATTACAAATAAAATTTTAACTGCTAGTTCATTCTTGATGCTCTGTTCAAGATAACTTGTTACTATTTAGAGATGCATGTAAGTTGGACACCTGCTTTTAATTATTTTTCCTCTCTCCCTTTGAGAAGATTCTGTTAACTTTATCTTTCTCAATTCTAGTTATAGCTTTTTAATAATAATTGAAAAATAGATCTAACCTTCAAGTACTTCAGCAAAAACAAACAAAATGAGTCCTGAGCAGACATATTGTGGCACAGAGTATGGAATTATCACATTGAAGCTGAAGATAATGCCTACTAAAACCATGATTTCAGATGCCAATAAAATTTGCCTGAAACCAGATCAAAAAGAATAACACATCAGTAGGTTATGATAAAAACATTCTAAACTTAATATCACCTAACATGAGATAAAAAAGATGCCTAATTGAAACATTACCTGTCTTCAAACATGTTGCTTATATAGCTTCCAACAACAATGTTTACTGGAAGAACAGTAAGGCCAAGACATGCAAGAAAAATAGCCACGCTGCTTGTTGACCAATTAAAATAGTATGTGGTAACGACACTAGATTCAGAGAGTAAAACCTCCATTACGTATTTGAGCATAAAGTATATCAACAATTGAACCTGGAAAGTACATAAGAATTCAGGTGAGAGATCATGACGTGCTATATCTTGAAATAAATTTGAAGCTAAATAACTTGCAATGAGAAGCAGATAAAATTCGAGACCAGTAAGCTCGCTAATGAAACCAAGTATACACACAATAACAATCAGAAGATCACTAGGCGTGGACTTCCCCAAGCTCTCTGTGATGATTTATAAATTACAGAGGTCAAATAGTTATTTTGTCCTGTAGTACAAAGAAGAGCATCCAATCTCCAACTTTGATTTTAATTAATACAAGATCTCAGTTCCCTCTCAACTCATTTTCATGCTTGTAAGTATCTTCCAATAAATTTTTACATACAATAGATTATCTTATAAATAATACCAAAAATTGTGCTATTATGTCCTTCAGCAATAACTGATCTGATGAATGTTCATATTCCATAATATCTAGACTGCATTGAACAATATCCAGCTGATTTACAAGTCAATAAACATAGAAATGAAGATGAAGATATTAGAACAATCTAGTCAAAAATCGATAATGGCAGGTCAAATTTGGACAAGATAACTTATTAGCATCTGGATGGAATGAAAATCCTATATAGTGGAGACAGTTTATTGTTCTATGAGCAGATTCATCTGATTAATTAAGTAAACCAACGTACTTTCCACACAATAATGTCATCTAACTTCAATGTTTTGGAAACTATGATGAATTTTAGTGAATCAACATACCTTAACAGAGGGTGTAAGTAGTCTATATGCCGCTTTGATTGAATTGGCTGGTCCATGAGATTCCTCAGGACCTTCTTCACTTCCATCACATTCTGCATCACCATCTTCATCTTGTTGATTGTCTTCAGAAGTTATGAGTAATGGTTGCTTAAGACCTTTCTCGAGTTCATTATTTTCTACTGGTTCTGTCATTAATCAGGATAAAATCCAAAATTAACATTTCTATACATAGAAAAGTATTCAATTCTATAAAATGAATTAAAGTGAAGCAATAGATGGTTTTAGATAGAAAACTTTCAAGTGATTAACTAAAACTAGCTGCATGGCCCAGCTCAACTTACGCCTGTAGTCAAACGATGCTTCTCCTATGTATAACGCCATAAGACTACTTTTAGGCCACATTTTAACTAGGTCAAAGATCCAACTATTTTAATAGTTGCATATCTCACTGGTAATGACCCTTCAGCCTAATAATAAAATTCCATGAAGGGTCCCATTCAGCTTACCTAGCAGCTGCAGAGAACACAATCCCTATACAGCCTAAAGAAGCATCATTGCTAACCAACCGGGACCAGAGTCTTATCAAAAATCATTTAACAGAGTCTTAAAACTGATTTTGTACAGTCATTGAACAACAGAGAGCTGGTTAATGAAATCACAAAACCCAAAGCTAAGAGGGGACTGTCCACTGTGTTCAGGAATCCATCCTAGACTTTCTGAGGCAACTATAATTCTTGAATTAAACAATAGCTGACAATGCCTGTTTGCAGTTTGTTTAATGGAGAAAAGATTAAAATACCAAGTACCCCTATGTACCAACTGAATTATGTTAGCTGCACCTGTAACCAGTCTCAAAAATTAAAAATGAACTACCATAAGAATGACTTCAACATTTTGTGTTATACACTTCTAGTTTGGGAGAAGAAGACTATATCGATCACTTCAAACTTTAGTATCCTCAATCAAAACCTATCAAATTTTCTTATATCAAGAACACAAGTGAAATTAAAACTTAAACAAATACCAATACTATAGTAAAAAGGAGGACAGTTTTGATGCACTCTGATAATGTGTCTTGGCATTAAAAAAGTTATTCATAAATCACAACAAAATATTTTCAAGGGAAACAAATATCTTATTATTTAGTTTTATATTCAAGGCCAATGATTTCATAAACATCCAATGAATAAAAGCATCTATTAAAAAAATATCAAAGCCAAAAAGACAAGGTGATAGGAGTTCACATACCTGCATTCGATTCATGTGGTCTATCATTCTCTTCTATATCACGAGAAGGTTCTTTAAATGAGATCCACAACCATATTAAATATATAAACCAGGCCACAGCCATAACCCATCCAGGTAAAGTGTCTTGATTAAATGTAAGCTTGTAAATCTTAAAATTGGTTTGCAGTAAGGCAGCAAGAGCAGGACCACAAGCCATTCCAAGTGCACTGGCACTAACAAAACCTGCCGATGCCTGCATGCGGATTTTTAATGGTACACAATCACTGATATAACGCCGGTTAACAGCTCTTGCAGATCCAAATCTGAAATGTGAAGTACAATTTCATCAACATAAGAGGAGCTAAACTTAGAAATATTCCTATATCTAACAAACTGTAAATTTAAGTTATGGTTCCCCAACAAGAGTACTTTTTGGGTAAAAACTTTTATCATGATGGAAATGAGCTTTTAGTTAATGTTACATCTATAAAAATGTCACATCATTCACGATTGTACAGATAAACGAGAAATTGAAATGCACTAAATACACAATCTTGGAGTTGTCTATCAAAGAATTAAACAAAGCAAAAAAAATTAAAATAATAGAGCACATACCCACAGAAAAGACGACCGATTAAGAGAACCGCTATTGACTCAAGATCATAGGCCAATGCATACAAGGTATTTCCAATGAAAAGAACAATACTGCTAAACACAAGAGGTCTGAAGTATGATTTATTTGACCATGCACTAAAATACACAGAGGAAAACACCTGTGCAACAGCCATTGCCCCAATAACAACACCACAAACCGTTGCAGCAGCTCCCAGGCTCAGAGCATAGTCATCTGCTGTAGGGACAATAATATATGTATTGACCATATAAAGAAATGTGTTTGCTAAGTTCAAGAGAAGTGACATGAAATGATATCTCTGATCATCAACATGTTCCTCAACTGGAGTAGGTAGCTCTTCTTGCATAATGAGAGCATGTTGAGCCAAAAAGTTGAGGAAATTTGTTGAGTGAGTTAACCTGTCTACAGCTGCTTTTATTGAATCAACAACAGGATCCTGCAAGGTAAATTCCAAGGGTTTGAGTGCTACAGGTACAAGAGAACAGTCAGAAAGAAACACGACAGTCTATACAAGTTGAATTAATATGATAAACCTGGAGTGGAAGAACAGGCTGATCATAAATGGATA